CTCATTTCGTTCATCAACTTCCACTCAATGTATTTTGCTGACAATCAAGTATATAGTTAAAGAAAATTCGAAATGTTAACATTGTACTTACTTTATAACAGTTTAAAGTACGTTAACACTAAATACCCACAATCACATCGCCTTACAAGTCATACGCTTGCTCCCCGGTGAATTTCACCTCAATCGGGTTGGCATTTTTACCAATGGATCGCATATTTTGGCCAACTCCTTGGCGTTCATCATTAACCTTTTCCGGGTAGACACCATCTTTGGGGCGTAAATATTGTACCTCCATTAGGGAACACCCTATAAAATTGGTACTTAAGCCCCGTTTGGCCCCATTAATTTTAATTCTATTACATTTCATTTTTCTCTCTCCTATTTTCAACTACACAATCTTTCATAAATAATATTACACGTAAATCGAAAATTTTTCCTTTTTTTTTCGACCACTTATTTTTCAAAAAAATACTATTCCACCCATTTTCACTTTAGAAAATGGGGACAAACTTTAATCTTGTACTTGGACGTTATCCTAGTCCAAAGTGCCAAACACTGCTCTTTCCTAAGCCAATTTCCATCGTGATGACGTAAAATTCCTCCAGTTGCGGTTTGCGCAATAGGCCGCCGGTGCTGCCACCGAAAATTGGTGATGGAGTGTTAGGATCCAATTCCAGTGGGGTAAAACCCACCGGAGCCTCCTCCGCCATGGCATGAATGGAGTGGTACGCAACGGTGGATGTCTTTGGCGGCCTAGGACTAGTTAATGATGCGAGGAAGGATTGCTTTCTTTTCTTGCCACTTGTCTCTTGGTCAATCGTAGATGATGAACTGGGTAATGTAGGGCATAATTTTCAATTTGGTCCTTTAATTGGGGAGCTTGAAAAATTGATAGACTGATGGTGTCGAAAAATTTCAGATTACTTTTCCAGAAAGGACTATCACAAGTCCCATTGTGTTAATTGTAATCATGTGTTTTATAAAATAGAAAAAATTCAATTATTATCAAATTCGGGTCGTGTTTTGTACTTAAACAATAATGAAGTCCCTAGATTCACCCATAATCTTTTGATCAGTAGAGTGATCGTTATGATGCAGAAGATCCTTTACAAAGGTAAATGTAGAGCATACTGAATCAGTATAGTCGTAAGGCGATTGTTTATGTTAGTCACTGAACTTTATTTAGTGATAGTTAATGTTGTACTGTATGAACAAGTTCGAAGTTCGCGGCTAAACCTGACGTTTGAACACTTTTTACTACTAAAAAGTGGCATCTGATAGTTTAGGGAATATATTTTCTGCAATTCTTCTATTTTCAATAACCAGAAATTTAGAGATACATATAGTAGCCGAATGACCTCTATATTTGGCTACTTCCAACTAATTAAGGTAGACAGCTATAATTACAACTTTAATTAGAAGATTATTGCCACAAAGTACTCTAATTTTACAACTCAAGCCAACACTCCCCCTCAAGTTGGTGCATATAAATCTCTGATACCCAACTTGTCAAGTGAGTTGTAGAAGTTCTTGCTACATACAGCTTTTGTGAGTATATCCGCCAACTGATCTTCAGACTTAACAAATGAAAGTCGAATTATCTTCGCCTCAAGGTTCTGTCTGATAAAATGTCGATCTACTTCCACATGTTTGGTTCGATCATGTTGGACGGGATTACGAGAAATATCAATAGCAGCCTTGTTGTCGCAAAAGAGACTCATCTCACAATCTTGAGTGAAGCCAATCTCTGTTAATAATCTCCTAAGCCAAAGAAGTTCACAAAGGCCCTTAGCCATCCCACGAAATTCAGCTTCAGCACTTGATAATGCCACTACTTTCTGTTTCTTACTCCTCCATGTAACAAGGTTTTCTCCAACAAATGTGAAATAACCTGAGGTGGATTTTCTATCTGTAATATTTCCTGCTCAATCGGCATCCGTATAACCTTCAACCCTTAAGTGATTGTTCTTCGAAAACATAAGTCCCTTTCCAGGAGAGGACTTCAAGTATCGAAGAATTTGAATAACTGCATTCATATG